CGTTGACTAGCGATTCAAATAACATCATGGCCTCGTGCATTTGATTCTGCAAAATGTGATTAGTGATGCGAGCGAGGACATTGGGAGAATCGTGCTTACAGCATTCTGATCTTCGACCAGACATTGGTCGTATCCAGATAAGGCGACCATGAACAACAGACACTGGACGCCCTCGAAGCAATGGATCCATTTCTTCCGCTCGGACCGCTGTCCTCCAACATCCATCATGCGGAAGTTCATCTGTCCGAGCTCAAACAAAGTTTCCGTAATACCTGTTGTGCGAAGTCGAGCCTGCAACATGTCCTGGTTGTCAGGAAGCCAGCCTCGAGTGAATATGCGATCGAGAGATTCATAGAAACTGAGTTACGTTAGCCTAGGCTCATGACGCATCGCCAAATTCCACTTACTAGTGCAAGTTGTCATGAAGAGCAAATTCATGCCCCCGTGCAACAGCCTTCTGAACGCCTTCATCCTTCCACATCGCCCTCATGGCATCGCGCACTTCGAGATCGGAGAAGGCTTCATCGGACCCTACATCTGGTTCCGTATTGTCTAATAGGTCCGCAAATGGCTTTTCAATCCCCGTTAGCTGATGCCGGCCTCTTGGGGAGAAGGGTGCGCAGTACCTTGGTCTTTTCCTCGTTCTCGAAATCGATTTCCTCGGCATTCATGATATCCAACAAGACCTTGAACGCGATGACGATATTCGAGTAGATTATGGCGCGGGTTTGGTGACGCTCTTCCTCAGGGAATCCTCGGCTGTGGATGATTCGCATTTGCTTGATAATGGTGGACTTGCCGGACTCTCCCGCTCCTGAGCATTCTATTAGCAACGCGACACCAAAGCAAGCCGACAACCAGCGACCGAGAATCACACACCTAATAGCAGAATCTTGATGGTCCGGTCTAGCGTTTTCTTGTCATTCTTGATACTCCTTTCGATGCGCGCATTGCGCTGGAAAGCCTCCTTATCGGCCTCCTCGGGTTTCGAAACTAAGCAACCCATGGCTTGCGTCCGGTAACGACAAACTACCTAGCGCGGTGGTGGTTAGCAACGGTTCATTGCAAGCTGAGCTGGTGCAACAAGAGACTCGACGCATCAACGAGTGTTCGGTCTGAGTCAGGGATGCGATTGGATTGCGCCACACGGGAGTCCAGTCGAAGCTTAGAGACACAAGACTCGACTAGACTCCAGACTCGACGGGTAACCAAACCCTCCGCGCAAGGTGGTAGATATGCCTACCTTCAAAAAGAATAAAAATGCTCCCCTGTCTTATGCCAAAGTCCAACCTAACGTCAAATTACTGGTGTGCGACGTGATAGGCAGAAGCTTGAAAGGTTCGATGCTTCCGTTATTCCCCACACCTATCGACCACGTTCCGTTGCAAATTGAGCGGTTGTGTTTTCAATTGGACCAGGTTATCCTCCGAGACAGGCGCCGAATCCGTGTGAGCGACACAGCGTCAGCCTGCCGAAGGCCAAATAAGCTTGAGGGAGAAAACGTTGGCGGTGACGGGGGAAGCCGAGATCGCGTTCCAAAGTTCAAAATATTGGGCTCGAGTTGAGGACAAAAGGACGTTTCGGATGTTGAGAGCCGAGTTCTCCGGAGGGGAGAGAGAGGGGGGCGAGAAATGGAAGAAATGGAATGGCGCATTCAAGACCAGTCGTGTACATATCTCCCGTCCCACGAGTCCACAAGCGGGGAGATAATGGAGAATGGAAGAATGCCGGTGATCACTGGTGTTATGTATTATCCTGTATACCGATTTCGGTATCTTTTGACTTATTCGGTATCTTAAGTATCTTCAGGCAATTTCTTGGAATATACGTTTCTTTATCATTTTCATTTCGTTCTTCTTTTGATCTTAATCTTTTTTTTCTTGGCCATCTTCTCTTTGTATTGAAATACAAAGGCTTTCGTACTCCATACTCCGTTACAAATCTTCACTTTTAATTGTTCCTAGGGGGGCCAGCCGATCCACCATTGGAAGCGCTTGGCCCCTGTCTGTACTTTGTACAAGTTGGAACCTATCGACAGCTCGGTTCTTCGTATATATTGTCCCGTTGCTTTTTGTTGATATCATATCTTTTACAGGCTTGCAGGAGACAAAGAGAGAAGAAACCCTAGAGATCTATCGAATGGCACTATTGAAAGTGCTTCGGGTTCACCCACGCGTTGACCCGATCAGCCGGATTTCAGGAACAATCGAATTGTTTTTTTTTTTTTTTTTCAAAAGAAGAAAATGGCATGGAGAGATGTACAACATCCGATAGTTATGCACAATACGACGCAGTATGTAATGTACTCCGTACGAAACGGTGCGTTTGCCAAGCTAATGCGGAATGCAAAGCTCCAGCGATCGACACGAAGATGCTGAAACCTGCATGGGCGTGCCAAAGGCCAATGCAAGGGCCAGTCTGAAACGTTGGCGGATTCCTGTCCTGGCTTCGCACTAAAGTCTGCTTGGATCCCCATGGGCATCTTACTCTTCTTCTCTACCACTCCGTACTCCCACAGAGGTGTTATCCACTGGAGCTCCCCTGAGATTCCGGTTCCTCGACCCGTTCGGAGTACATCCTCCACAGTTTTACCGAGGTTTAAACGGACCTAAGACTAACACCGGATTACAGCACTTAGGGGATTCCGCGCAAACCAATCAGAGAGCTCGAATCCAATATTCGCTTACTTTCACGCTATCAGGGGAAATTCCGAAGGGCTCCAGGAGAAACAGATGTTCGGTGGACCGTGGCTGTCATTTCCCTTCGCCCCCACAGCACAACGACTTCTGCCGTGTTTGAGCCGCAGGTGAAGCTGTAGCCAGTCCTTTGTACGGAGTACGTTGGATCTGGATATTACTCGTAATGAAGATTGCGAGATGACAAACTATACTCAACTCCAGGTTTGCAATGTAAATAACCCCGCGACAGTCCAGGCCCAGGTCTGAAACAAAGACCACTTTCCCCATTCTACCGGTTCGCAGTCCCCAGTTTCATGATATGATTTTCATTAATTGCGGGCAATCTCACCACGCCGTCGTGCTACTAAGGCAAGGGGCGATCCTTTTGGGACTAGTCAAATGCACCTGTGGGGATCGATTAACCTCCCAAAAGTAGTCTCATATTTGACCGGAATCCTTAGAATATACTCCGGACAACGTTGGGATGAGTCCGAATCAACCCAGACCAGCCTAGTTCGCATCGCCGATCCTAGAACAAAAATTCTCCGTGGCCCGATATGGTGTAAGACTCGTCATGGATATCCAAGAGATGCCATCGAGGCTATCCTTATGATACATCGGTGGGCCGACCCTCCCCGGCTACCTACCAACTGATCACCCATGTAAAAGGGGGTCTCATGCTCAATGCCTTGGTTTCTGCCTCCACATGCAACTTCCGAGGAATTACCCACGTGTGGATTATCTTTCCTCTGGCATTGCTCGGAAGGCCTACCCGAAGTATCGATTTTCATACTCATATCTTTTCTGTTTATGCATAATGGGAGCTCCACTGGTATCAGGAGCTCCCACAAATCTTCATATCGAAACTCTAAGCCTTCCAAATCACTGTAAAATCAAATTGACAGCCTACAACCCCGAGTGCCTCAGATAGTATGGAGTACTGTATATAATATAGATCACTTTTGTCTCAAAATCTTGCAATATAATCTCGGAAAGAAGAAAACATGTAAATATTAGGTTCGCCAAAGCCAGACGCCACACATAAGAAATCCAAAGTAAACCAATAAGTCGCAAATGTGACTCCGAAAGACCTAATATTAGCTTTTCATCAACCCATCCCGGGTTATACATAGAAAAGTCTTTTGCACAAAATATGCTTTTTGTTTCCGCCTTTTTCTACCGTCTACCTATACAACTGAGGTGTAGGAAATATCTTAGAAAACATCTATGTTGTAAACAGAATGTGATATCACCAAACCCCCCCCCCCCCCCCCCCCCCCAAAAAAGAGACTAATAAAAAAAAGACATCACAAGGCCGCATACGCAGACATCTACTCTTGTATGCCTACTTACATAGGCAGGATCTGTACGGAGTAGCAGGTACAAAAGTTAACGGTAAATCCACCCACAGCCAAAGGACAAACTATTCAGGGGCGTTGAGTAGGACTCGAGCAATTTAAACATTGTCGATCAGCATTTGACAGCGGGTCCAGTTCCCGGTTTTTTAATGCCTAAGCGTAAATCATTCGGGAATAGCTCCGGGGCTGATGTACCTAGTCCAGCATAGTGCTCGCCGAGTCAGTATATACGGGAGACGATACGGAGTATTTGGGTGTTCTTTCGGGAGTAAAAAGAGCAAATAACAAATGAAACATAGAGAAATTTTACGGTTTTTAGTGGCCGTTTTGATGGGTCTATCTTTAGACCGGGGTACTAAGTGAGGACCGGAATATATACTCCGTACCCCCAGAAGGGATCTGTTGAATATATCTCCTGATTTTTTTTATTACTAGTCCCATGCTAAGAGATACCCATGGAGTATATCATAATTGTCTGTCTTTCCCTTTCCCTAAGGGGATTAGATAAACTGTGGCGGCGCGGTTTCCGCCAGCAATTAAATAGAATTCTTGCACGGAGTAAAGTAATGAATTAGATAAGCTCATAAGCTTCCAAAGGTTAGTAGCATTTTATTCAGCAATAGGAATTGATAATCGTGTGCCTTCATATCTATGCCGAGGTGATCCTTGTCGATTTCCCAGCTCGAGCAATAGACGTGAAGCTTCCGCACCGAAAGATATCAGAGAGTTAGGCACTCAGCTGTATACTTCCGAGTATCGACTGAAGATCTTCTCTTTATAGTAGACATATTTTGACACTATAAAAGTCCATGTATACTACTAATTGCCATGAATATTGGAAGAGAAATGGTTTGATGTGGTGCCATGAACTCTCGTTCCGGAGTGTTGGTGACGTCACCAAAGAATCTCAGACGGAGACTACATCTTGCAGAATCGAGTCTTGTATTTCCGCTCAAACTCTGCAATGGACCATGCACAGAAAAGAGCGCTAGTGGTCATCTTTCCCGGGTTCAACATCCTCGATGTGGGCGGTCCGGTTTCAGTACTCTACAACTCGTACTTCTCCGTGAGCTATGCCGCCAAGGATGAGCTCACAACATCTCAAGAGAACGCGACAGTTAAAAGAGACATATCCCTTGCTGAAGCCAAACTTCAACTGTCCGACTATGAAATATTGATCGTCCCTGGCTCACGACCATTCAATATCCTACCACATGTGGAATCCGAGCAGGGGCAGCTATCGGAGCTTGTCGAATTTATCAGCAGTTTTGCATCCATGAACCACGAGAGCGTGCGGAAACATACTATCTTGGCCATCTGCATCGGATCCTACTTGTTAGCTTTTGCAGGTGTACTTGATGGCCTCACTGCAACCACACACCGTCTTGCTCGCCCCGGGCTACGAAACGCAGTCCGACGTTATGCGGATCATACTACGGGTGCGGAAGGGGCTCGAATCGTTCCCGAGGATCCCTCAGAACTGATTCCCTATCTGGATGCTGGCAGGAACCAGTTCGGGGTCAGAATCATCACGGCGGGCCCTTCGCTCAATGGTGTCGACGCCGCATTGCATTTTGTCAGTCTTAGTTCGAGTCGATCAATTGCAGCTGAGGTTGGGGACCTTGTTGGGCATAGCTGGAAGGAGATATAGATGTGAAGCTTGCGGTACAAGAAGAGCCATAGGGTTAAGTTTATCTTCACAGAACTAGTCTTTTCTGTGCCCTCTTTGTATCCTGGTCATACGATTAATTTTGAGTACCGCAGTATGTTATTCGCAAGCTAATTTGGAATGTGAGCATGTCGTATTCACAGAGTATAGTACCATCCTGTCATGCCCTCAATCCGACCATTTGTCTCCCGGGCTCTTTTGTTTGTTTTCCAAAAGTGAAAGTCCATAATTAGGGTTAAACATATGCTAACCATTGTAATACCAAATGTCACCCAAATACCCGTAGTATAATGCGGACTTTCATCAGACTTGAAGGCGATGCTCGCAATGATACCCCCAAGGCCTCCGCCAATCAGACAGGTTGCGGATGCGACTCCACGCTTCGAGTGTGAAGTAATGTTGTTTGCTTGGAATGCGAGTACACCGGGGATACAAAACTGCAGGAATCCCACACCTGGAGTATAGCGTTAGGTATATCACCTTTCATTGTGAACAGATTGAGAGCTCACCCATGAATATCCCAAAGTATCTTGTCCCACTTGCACCGCCATAAGCTGTGATCAACATCCCCACTGCTGTCAGAAGTTGATGAGTAACAATCACTGGCCCGCGGATTTGATATTTATCCGTGAACCAGCCACCTAAATATGTAAACAATGCAGCAATAATGTAAGGTGGGGCACTGAGTAGTTGACTCTGCGTGTTGCTGAAGCCCATGCCCATGAGGATGACTGTTTTGAAGTAGCTGTACGCATATCCAGGGAGGGTGGAGGCCATGAGATTGAATGCCCAAACATACAACTTCCAGTCTTTAAGATGATGAAGGACTCTTTCCATAGTAATTGGATCCTCTTCCGCGTCTCCACTATCGTTGTTGATGCGAGCGATAATGAATTCTTTTTCTTCCGGTTTGAGGAATGTATCTGCTTGAGTTGGAAAATCGATGATGATAAACCAACCAATTAAACAAATGCTACTAGTAATAGCACCCTCGACGATGAAAATCCCTAGAGAATCACGGTCAGCTGTTACTATTCTCATGGCATGGAGGTGAACAACCCACAGCGCCATCCATTCAGACCATAGCTCCCATCTAACAGGGTCAAGGCATAGGCAAAAATTGCAGCGAAGGCGTTCAGTACAACAGATACCAGCCAGAAACTAGCCAGTCTCTTGCCCACCTCAAATCGCGTGTACCAACATGTAATTAGATAGGTGCAACCTGTATAGTTAGTAATGTTCAACTTGGAAACACAGCCCATTTTAATATACCTGGAAGAAATCCAGCTTCCATTACACCTAAGAAAGAATATCGGGTCAGTAAGGTAGAATGGAAAAGGAGGACATATTTTTTACCTAACAAAACTCGGCAAACTACCATTGTAGTCCAACTTTTGGTGAAACCCATGCCGATCAAGATCACTCCAAAGCTAAATCCAAGAAAGGCTAGCCAGTTTGCTGCACCGGCTCGAGGAAGGATGAGATTCTGCTGAGATTAGTTCCGTCCCTTCTAATGGTCCCTGGTTGCGGATCGCGGACATACGCTAGGTATCTCGAATATACTAAATGATACAAAGTCAGAAAACCATTGCATCCAAAGCACTTCTAGGCAATATCAGAGAGCTTACATATATGCCACGAAAAATACCATAACAACGATCGTATACCTGTTGCCGATGTGAAGTCCAAGATCCTCCTCCATCCCGGCTACAAATGCAAGACCAAGGTTCGTCCTATCGATGAGTGAAATGGAATACATAATTCCAAGAATTGGGAGGAGGCGGAGATCAACACGTCGACTAGTTCAAACATTAGAGTTGACTTGTTGGCCATGTTAGAATGTAGAGAAATCGCACATGACCCTTTTCTGATGTGCTTCGTCAATACCATACACGGGAGATTCATTGCCGGAATGACGATGTGCCAGCTCTTGTTCCTCAAGATGGATGAACTCCAAGTCCTCTTTCTTCGTAGATTCATCGTCTGGGGGGCTGGCCGAAATCGATGCCATTGTGGCGAATTGATATGTTTCTTGATCCTTCAGCAAAGCGAGGAAATAAAGATGTGAAGAAGTGAACTGGGAATGAACATGTAGAGAGCATTTTAAGATCTCCTCCTACGGTGATCTTAACCGAGCTTATTCAACATAGTAACAACAATACCCTCGGGACAAAATGGCCCATTGAAGAATCTGGGGAACTACCAAGATTACCCCTCAGTTTCGCTCTTGATGCCAAGTAGAAGAGAACATTAAAAGCCGGGGAAGTCTTGGTTTAACTTGGCATTGAGAGCGAGCGCCCTATCATGTACAGGAATCTCACAGGTATCTGATGTCAAAAAATGATGTGGAGGGTTGTACTATTAAAACCCCGCACAATGCCCAAATCTAAAGAGCCTGAGGTGAGCAAGTAGCCTTTATACTGAACTTAGCTTGCCAAAGAGGAAACAAGCTAAAGCTACAGCGATAAGTTTGCTCATGATCTCCTAAGTATGTATCCAAATAGCAACTGCAATTGCTAATTGGGTCGCACATTCGTATCCCTGGACAAATGTAAGTAAATTATCAATATAGTCAAGTTGATAATTTGTAGAAAGCATAGTGTAGAGTTAGGGATAAACTATCTACTGGACGATCCTAGTGGTTTTGTAAAGCATGGAGCCCAAGGTTTCGGACATCTTAGAGTCGAGCAGATTCCTCTATCTTTAGAATATTGTTCTTATATTGAAGTACTTTATACTAAACGATCTCTCTAGGTACTGTATGAGTATGCTATATTGGCTTTCCACGCTTGAGCTCCATGGAGAAACATAATCGTGGTGCGAAATACTGCATATAATACTCGGCTATATACTCTATATAGTAGCCTACAGTCAGGCCAAAACATCTCTATCCACTCCTTAAGAAATCAATATTCCGGTGGGCATTCCATCCCAGTGATTTGACAAGATGCTTGCAAGCTTCTTTCAATATCCTAAATATACTCAATAGTAATCCAATGAAGTCTCAGGGCTTCACATCAAACAGATCTGTTGTGGCGGGCATGTTGTGGGTGGGCACATTGTACTTTTTGTCATGTCAATATGCTCTCAATATATATATTCTAATCCTTATTAAAACAATAGAATCTATGCCAAACGATAAGCTGTTCATGTCCAGAGGGTGGAACAAGCGGTAAGCCTATAGATTGTAAAACCCCACCACATTTACCCCTCACGTCGACTACAGCTATCAAGTTGTGCTCCTCAGTACATATCTCTCAATATATATTGCTTTCTCTGAAATGGCAAATAAAATATTATCGATAGCTGACCTTGAAGAGGCGGCTTCCAACTCACTATCTATCTCCGCGAGAGGTATGTATTTGCTCTCCCTCATGTTGCGGCGAATATGTATCTCTTAACGCGGATCAATAGACTTCTTCAACTCCGGCGCAACGAACCAAGTCACCCTTCACGACAACTATGCTGCGTATAGAAAGTACCGTCTCCTACCAAGGGTTCTGAGAGATGTCTCACGTGTTGACACTGGGGTTTCCTTTTTTGACCGAGATATCAAATTTCCGCTCTGTGTCTCACCCACCGGATTGCAGGTTATGGCTCACCCAGAAGGCGAGCTGGCTACAAGCAGAGCCTGTGCCAAAATGGGCGTCAACATGGGTGTCTCCTCCTATGCTAATCACTCGGTTGAAGAGATCACCATCGCTGGACAAGAAGTGGGACCAATCCATCATGTGATGCAGCTCTACACGATGAACGACAAAGCTAAACAAGAACGAATTGTCCGTCGGGCTGAGGCGGCGGGCTGCAAGGCTATATTCCTGACTGCGGATAGTCCCGTACTTGGGGTGCGCTGGAATGAATGGCGAAATGGATTCATACCTCCAGTTGGCTTAGGGCTTCCGATGTATGAAAGAACATCTGCCGAGATTCAGCAACAATCTCACGATGATGGGTTTAGCTCGACAAACTCGGATTCCCATTCCTGGGCCACGGAGATACCGTGGCTGCGCAGCGTCACGAAGATGGAGATTTGGATTAAAGGAGTTCTCACCCCGGAAGATGTCGAGACTGCTATTGAATATGGCTGCGATGGTGTCATCATTAGCAATCATGGTGGTCGGCAGCTGGATGAGACACCGGCCACGATTGATGCGCTTCCTGCCTGTGCTAAGGCTGCGCGGGGGAGGATCAAGATTCATATTGACGGTGGAATTCGATCTGGCGTGGACATTTTCAAAGCCTTGGCTCTTGGTGCTGAATGTTGCTGGGTTGGGCGTCCTGCACTTTGGGGACTCGCAGTAAGTGTTGCTTGTTACATCAATAGTCCTGACAGAGGCGGGTATACTGACTCCCTTGGTAGCATAACGGTCAAGAGGGAGTCGAGCTAATGCTCAAGATCCTGTTTGATGACTTCAAGCGATGTATGCAGCTCACAGGCTGTAGATCCATCTCCGAAATAAGACCAGCAAGCCTAGCAATTGTAAATGCATATGGGCCTTTGGCTAGGCTGTAGTCTCCAGCATTCTTGTGAGTATGCCTGGGACAGATATTGGGGATTTTGCAACATCGCTCATGGATATATCATGATAGATCCAGACCATGTATCGTGGAATTGATCGGCACGGAATAATTAATAACAACGACATATTCTTATGGCTCCCCACGAATTAGTCGGCGTTGTATCGGAGAACATAAATATTTCCGGGGCAAATATTCTCACCAACTATGAAATGCAGGCTAATACCTAGTTCCTGGACTTGTCCAGGTGATCCCGGGAATGCAACCGATTCATTGGTGGGTAGGGCTCCACCTGGGCAGCTGGAGCCGCCAGGAGTTCCTCATGGCGAGTGTGACGCCATTCCCTAGCTTCTCCTCGTTGCCTAAGTAATATGCACCAAGACTCATTCAGCCCATAATTCTCGGGTACGCATCTTATTGAAACATTGTATTTCCAACGCCTCCATCATAATTCAGGTATGTCTCCATGAGCGCATCGTGTTCGGTAGCTATGAGGTGCTAATAGCTCCGTGGCTATAGCAAACGTGACCCCCAAGTACTCGTTGCACAGTATGGAGTCTGAGAAAGGTCCGCTTTTGGAGGCAAACGAAGTCTACGATTCCAAGGACAATGGCGTTGTTTCTAGCCACACCCGTCATAAAGCACAAAGAACTCGCCCCTGCTGGGCGAGAACTCTGAGAAAAGGGCTCTGTGTCTTTGTGATCACTGGGCTTATTACCTACTGTCTAACTCCCCCGCATGGTATGAGCCCCTTCTACTCATAAGAAATGCGTCGCTAACATGATTGTTTTTTTGCCCAGGCCCTCCATCTACTGAGAAAGACCCATCCCCACATCCCGAGACTCCCCCGCTTTGCCAATCGCAAGAATGCATTCATGCTGCATCCGAAATCCTCTACAATCTGGATCCCAACTATGAGGATATTGATCCTTGCACTGATTTTGACCAATATGTCTGCGGTGGATGGAGGGAGCACCATGACATGCGGCCCGACCAGGGATCGATATTTGCAGGCACAATCATGCAAGAGAACGCCCAGACTAAACTTCGTCATATCTTGGAGCGCACAGAACCGCCGCAGTCATCTGATGCTGACAATTTCAAGAAACTCAAAGCTGCGTACGATGCTTGCTTGGACGAGGCTACCGTCAGCAAACGGGGCAGCAAACCTTTGACTAATATTCTGGATGAACTGAAGACTATCTACCCTGCAAAGGCAGGTCTTGAGAAAGGAGCACAAGATCAACTCACCACTGCTCTATTGTATCTGGCGAACGCTGGTGTCGAGGCTCTGACTTCTTCCGGTGTCACTGTAAGTCTATGCGACCTATAATTTATGGGAGCCAATACTGACTCCTTTTAGCCCGACGATCGAGACCCTGATAATGTTGTTATCATGGTCTCCCCGCCTCGCGAAATCGGACTTCCCGCGAGAGAGTACTATAATAACACAAAGACCGTGGCTGACTATACGACCGTTTTGAAGCAAGTTGTTCGGGGACTTGCTGGAGATGGATTCGACAAAATTGCCGAGGATGTTGTAGCCTTTGAAAAGAAGCTCGCGGATGTGACTCCGGATACCCAAACCCAGGAAGATGTCACCAAATACTACAACCCCCTTAGTATCAAGGAAACGGAGACACTGGTACCTGAGATTTCTTTTGCTAATATTATTTCATCTTTGGCGCCCCCTGACTACAAAAGCGATCGCCTAATTGTTGGGTCGCCTTCCTATATGAAGGCATTGTCTGTTCTCCTGAAAGACACACCCAGAGAAACCATTTTGCTATTCTTGCAGTGGAAGCTCATCCAAGCGCTTGCGGATGTTATTGAGGATGCCTCCGTTGAACCCCTTCGGCGATTTAACAACGAACTCGCTGGCAAAGAACCTCAGGCCAAGGAGGAGAGGTGGCGTAAATGCCTTGGGCATCTGGATGAAGGGCTTGAATGGAGTCTTAGCCGATTCTATGTGCTTGATGCGTTTTCCGAGGACTCGAAGAAACTTGGCGATCAGATCGTGTCCGATATCAAGGAGCGATTCATTTTCACCCTAGATCAAACTAGCTGGATGTCTCCAGATGTGCGAAAATTGGGCATTGCGAAGGTGGGAAACATTATCCAGAAGATCGGGTTCCCCACAAGTAGTCCCAATGTCTTAGACCCCGAGGATGTGAATAACTTCTATCGGGACTTGGAATTGTCCAAGGACACCTTCTTTGAGAATGAGGTGGCCGTGGCAAGATTCCAACTTCGCAACGAATGGTCTAAGCTCGGCAAGCCCACCAACCGTGACGAATGGGGCATGAGTGCACCGACTGTCAACGCTTATTACAACCCGCCAGGCAATGAGATCGTCTTCCCTGCTGGCATTATGCAGCCACCAGCGTTCTACGGACCTTCTGCGCCCTTGTATCTGGCATATGGTGCATTTGGTGCCGTCAGTGGCCACGAACTTTCACACGGTATGTTCAGTTCCCTGCAAAACTTTTGCCGTTTTTTTAACACTGGGATATATAGCTTTCGATTCTACCGGTCGACACTACGACGAGAGTGGAAACTACACTAACTGGTGGGACGATAAGACCGTTGAAGCATTTGAAGAACGTGCTCAATGCTTTATCGACCAGTATTCCAAGTTTACCGTCACTGGTCCCGAGGACAAGGTCCTCCACGTGAACGGACGACTGACGTTGGGGGAGAACATCGCTGACGCTGGAGGTTTGACAGCATCATACCATGCATGGAAGAAGCACGATGAGGCAAAGCCTGACCCCCACCTCCCGGGATTGGACGCATTCACCAAAGAGCAGCTGTTCTTTATATCTTATGGTAATTGGTGGTGTGGAAAGACTACCAAGGAGGCGGCTGAGCAGGCGATCTACAACGATCCCCATGCGCCTAAATCAGCACGAATCATCGTGAGTTTCGTTCATTCGTTCCTTTACTTGTGTGCCATCACTCACCACCGTCACAGGAAACTATGGCCAATTCTAGGGAGTTTAAAAATGCCTTTAGTTGCCCAGATAGGAAGCCGGTTTGTAAGCTCTGGTAGTTTTGAATAGTGTATTGTCAATGGCATTTGATTTCATGAGCTTTGAGTAATTCGAGTATTCTGCCTTGATCACCAGTGTTTGGTTGTTCCTCGGTCCCATTCTATCCTTGCCCGGTACTTGGCTTTCGCACCAACCCCTTGTCGACGCACATACACCCATCAAGCCACCCTAGGTGCCACGACCTCTGGCAAATAGGGCTCTCGCTCTTCGTGAGATCTCAAACCGTCAGTCTGCTGCCGCTGAGACAAAAGCGTCACAGCCTGAGATTTAGCAGGTTACCTAAAGACGAGAGTTGCTTCAACATATATTACTAGCATTTCGCTTAAATCTGCAAAGAAAACCGCTGGCACTTATTTTGGATACATTACTAACTCTACATATGAATGCTAACGATGCCACAGCTGTTGCTGCCCAAAATAAGCGGGAGCGGCGAGAAAATAATTTGGTATCGGCTAGAAGCCGAAAAGAGAGAGAGAGAGAGAGAGAGGAGAAGGAAGAGGCCAAGGTAGGGAGTCAGCGAACGGATTTAGCTACCTAGATCCTTACCTTTTTGGAGTTAGGTAGTTTTGGGGCCGTTTTTTTATGTGGATATGTCTCAATTCTTATGGATCTTTGTCAGCTTGATCGACATTTGACATGTGACGTGTGATGTCTGGTCTCGCCGGCAAAGTGGATTGAAGTCTTGTGTGAATTGAGGAATATATATGTCTAGAGCCCTGGAGGTTAGGTCGATATTGAATACCCCGTACTCCATACGCGCCGGAGAGGATGAATCCCAAAAATTGGCCAATTTTCCTAATCTAAAATCCCGGCAATCAGACGGGACCTCCGATCGCGTCAGGTGAGTAGCATCTACTTGCGCTAGCATAGACAGGCATAAAGTAGGGCAGCCAATGATCTAAATTAGGGCGGCTGCACAGTAAATTGCTTTCCAACAAGAGGTGTCACACAGATTAATAACCTCATACTGGAGAAACACGCACCTTTTTCAGTCGAAACGGACTCCGTACGGACAAAGTAAAACATAAGTTGGTAGATCTAGGTGTCCAATTCTTGGGATATTCCCAGTTTCGCGTGGAAATGGAACGATGCAGCCACAATCCTGCTTATAGGTACTTTGTATACCCTGTACACTGTACTTGTAAATTCGGGCCACAGTTCGGGGGTCTTTGCTTCCGGTGACCTATCATCTCCCTTGCACAGTCCCATAGAATGTTGAAGGGATGAGTACAGGAGTACAGAACGGTAGAAATATATGTAGGAAGAGTCAGATTTAATATCCGGAATAAAATAGATAGATTATATCTGTATAAAAAAATAAGCGGTAAAAGGGGCAATTCCCAAACACATTGGACCCAGCGTTCCCACCTTGGACAGTTCCTGTTCTTCCGTTCCCGCCGCGTCGGGTCATCTCCACAACAGCTGTCTTTTCTTTTTTACCCAGTATTTTATATGATTTTGTCCAAGGGCCCCGTTGCGACGGGAGTTCGATTCTCATAGCTTTCGCGTCATGGAGTCCTTTCCACCCGACCCGGAGTTCAAGGATGCCTTTCTGGGCCCACAAGTCCAAATTAATGAACTGCCAGCCTCAAACCGAATGCCTAGTGGGCCTTCAATTTCGAATCTTCGCCGTGCCAATACTGTAGCCCAGGGCGGCAATGTCAAGCGGAATCTGGAAATGAAGGCAGCACGCGAGAGAGCAATCGGGATAAACACCAAGGATAGCCATGAGCTCCTACGACAGAACAACCTACAGCGGTCCCAAACACATCGTGGACCGCTAACGGCGCGATCACCCGGGAGGAAGGCCGGCCATTTCACCGTAAGAAGTGTTGGCCAGAATGGCAAAATATTTCTCAGGTACACCAACCCATAATTCTTGCTGTGTCACATACTGTGCAGCCTGCTGATAGTAGAAATATTTCAATAACTTAGGCCGATTGCCAATCCGTCCCAGCAAAGCCCACAGCCTGCATCCTTCTCTCCAGTCGATACCGCGAAACCCAGTCTCCTTCAGCCGCAGCCTCATGCACATGCCCGCGAGGATCCAGATCCATCCAGGTGGTCGAGCTCGCAGCTCTCTGAGTTACGTCCGCGCGAACAGCCCGAAGATCCCGAACCCGTCCTCTCCGTGCCTCCTCCCGAACTCTCCAGCCAGCACCGCATGAGACCGATCTCGTTTTCGACAATATCGGAGCAGCAATCGATAGCCGGTGCTGGGAAGCGTGGGGAGCTGCGGATCGTGATTGATAGATCTGAAGACCGGCCCAAGTCTGCACGTGAGAATTCGACACCAGCCTTGGAGGTTCCTATTCCGCGTTATCGGCTCGGGTCGCCGCGATTCAACGCCGAAGGCAGTGCAATTATGCAGAGTTCTGTTTACACGCGAACATCGATGTCGGACAACTTTCGGAATTCAACACTGCTTGGGGGCATGGCAGACACTCTGCCGGGACTCTATAGTCCATATCCTCGAGATTCTTTCTCGCGGCATCGGCCATCTTTTGCGATTTCTATGTTCTCGGGCACCGCGGCGGCTATGGATATGAACAGAGCTTCACTAGCTCCAAGGAATTCCATGGTCTATGAATTGAAGGAGCCGGTTGAGCCATCCATCTATGAAACGCTGGTGTATGATATGGATGATGGGTCTGTTGTCCGATATATCACTGGGACAAAGGATATCAGTGCTGCCACGCCTGCCCGAATCGTTGCGCAAATTTCCTCCGAGTCATTCATGGACTATGAACTAGTATCGGACTTCTTCCTTACATTCCGTTCATACCTATCCACAACACACCTTTTGGCTCTTCTTCTTGCGCGTTTAAAGTGGGCAATCAACCGGCTACAAGATGATGGACGCATCATTAGGATCCGCACATTCGCGGCTTTGCGACATTGGATTCTTAATTATTTTGCCGATGACTTTGTTACGAATTACGAGCTTCGGACCCACTTCTGCGAGACTATCAATAAGCTATATTCAGAGGTCAGGTCTCGACAAAATGGTGGCACAAGTGATCGAAAGATTCTCATTGACTTGAAGCGTTGCTGGAATGGCAAGTGTTCGATTTATTGGTCTTCCCCCGACTTGTCTCGCGCCTATAACGACCCGGAAATTCCAATTATACCTGGGGATGCTCAGATTGAGCTACCTAAAGCTGAGGAACTGCAGCGAAACGTGCCTGTTTATGGTATGACACCCCGTGCAGACACTACCTTTCGCGAAAGTCTTCCTTTCCCCATACAGCATGATCGAAATGATTCTGCGGCAACTACACAAAGCGTTCCATTTTCTGCCAAAAGTGAGCAAAGCTTGATGGCCCTTTCGTGTTCATTGCCACCTAAATCACCCAAGCGCTTATCCATGTCTGCCTCGAAAAACAAAGCGCCCCGCCCTGTGGTATTGGGCCTTACAAAATCCAAGCCTCCGTCCAGGTCTCATGAACCGCCGAGATCACCTGTATCTCCCAAGATCTCGCGGCACCCATATCATAGCCATAGCCATAAAAGAAGCGGAAGCTTCTCGGATTCGGTGCGAGACGATCGACTGCCGATGTTTGCGATGGAGCCCGAATCGGGATCCGTACCACAGGAGATACTCGATCCGGCCAGTTTAATACGCGGAGAGATGTACCCCCCTGCAGAGTCGTACATGGCGATGATGGCACCGGAATCGCCTCCCCTTCCTCCACCGTTGAAAAACCCAAATCCGGATCGTCGGAGTACACCCGACGTGCCCAAGTCATCACCTAACTCGGGTATGAGAACAATCATTGGCTCAATCAAACGAGTATTGCACACGAGGAACGGTGGACAAAGCGTCTCTGCTCGCATTGCGAATGCCCACGAGGCCATTTCATTGCCTTCCCGCGGGAAGACATCTGCAATGCCAACTGGACTGGCTTTTGGCTCTGAGTTCTACCGGGAGAGGAGGTTGGCTGCTGCTCCCAAATATCCAGGTCGAATTGATCTCTTGTGTGATGAGGTCCTCAAACAATACCGTTTGGCGATGAACCAGGAAGGAATGAAGGTCCAAACTCAGCCACCAGTTGCGTCTGACGTTCATCAAGCGACCCTGCAGGAGCCTGGATCCCGTGCTTCTAATCTTTTACCGACGCAAAACCCTAATTCCGACCCTAAACTCAGGAGCGGTATCACCATGGGCAGCGAATCAATCATCATTGTCGATGGCACCGGTTTCGAAATGCCCTTCATGTCAAGGGCGGCAGCGCAGGAGCCAATGCCAATTGCTGATGATGATACTCATGAAACGCCGGGACTTGAAGTGCCCGATGACGCCTCAACGCAGTCGATCCCCGTGGAAGGAGAATATCTCCGGCCGGTCTGTTACAATGCCGACGAATCGGAATCAGCTGCCCAGTCAAATGTATTCTACCCCCTTCGACCTCTCACGCCGCAGAGATCGTCATCGGTCGAACGTGGGTCGACGCCTATAAAGAAGAAGAAGAATTCTCTGTCTCTCCGACTCAGAAAGTACGCGTCCTTCCAAAGCGGAATCTCGAGACAGCGGTTTTCGATGAGCAGCGAGAATGCCCAGTCCACTGTTGACTCCAATGTGATACAAGATCAGAACAACAAACAGTCAGGACCGGTCCTTCGCAGGCGCCGAGGTGGAAACTTGCGTCAGATGCAGAGTGGAGATGAAACCGAGCCTCGTTCCTGTCGTGACTCGTTTGCGTCTTGGGATGACTCAGTTGTGGACGAAACGGTCCCCTCTGATGGCGGTACCTCAAGACCCCCTTCAGCATTGATCCCTCCAAATCCCCGGTACTCACTTATTCAGCCGCGCACTTCCCGTCAAATTAGGCGTTCCTTTGAGTCAGTCATTGCGAAGTTTGCACAGATTCCCGATGACGATGACGGTGGTATTGAGTCAACGCTGTTGAAGCTGGAGGGAAAATGGGATGGGCCACCCAGCGCCGATCGAGACTCTTCGTCTGCACAAGCGGAGGGATCCCTCTCTCACCGAGAACAGCCTTTGGTCCCTCATGGTCTCGAAACAGCCAGGCCTGCCTTGGATGTCCTCTCTCGCAGGCGACAGACGGACAAGTCCTCATACTCCACGGTTGGGGGTCGATTGGCGCCACCTAGGCCTTATTCTGATTCTGTTGCCGAGTCCGAAGAGTCTTATAACTCTATTCCGCTTCTTGAAAGAGGATTGACCGACGAGTCCATGAAATGGCAGCCTACAAGCCAGCCACTTCAATATGACTCACACGGTGCTCCGCTCACCCTCGTTTCAAGCCA